TGGTAACGTCACCAAACTGTCACTCCGGGGAATCCCATCCGCCTGACTTCTTCATTGTGTGTTGAATGGCAGTCCTTTGATTGACCGCTTCTCCCTTCCTGAAAATTGTGTCTTCGTATACCCAATAAAAAGGAAGCTAAATGAAAGGAAAAAAAGAATTGTGTGTAAGCCTGTCACACTACACCGCAGTGACCGTCATTATTCATCGACCTGTTCTTAATGTGCTTGACGATTGATTTCGTTTTCTGATTTCCCATTGTCTGTCTGTCTGTTCAGTTGTTCAGTGACTTTACGCATTTTAGTCTCTTGGTGTCGATTCTCATTTCCAGAAAGTCTATGAATAATGTGGTTTATCAGTTTTCTGATAGTTATTCAAACTATTCAACGGACTATGAATCTATTGGATCCGGACATAAGTGGCCATGGTCTAATGACTCCACACTAAAAAGTGGGCTGTCGTTGGCCCAAATAAGGTGAAAACGCATTGCAATCGATTGACTTTCTCAGTGTGCTTTGTGAATTAACTGTTCTTTGGAAGAGGGACGGAAAGGCTTAACCCGTACTCTGTATTTAGATCAGTTCAGAAATAGACGATTTTCTTTGAAAAAGGAGAACAAATTAGCGAGCAAGTTTGAGTTTGAATATTTCATCTTCTGGTCCATGCAGTCATGTAAGTATGAAAACAGTTATCGTTTGCATAACGTTCTGGAATGTAACTTGATTGGTAGATACAGTTAGTGAACTCTGTGTGTGTATGTGGCTTGTAAAGGAAATTATTTGTGCTGTGTGTGTGTGTGTGCATGTGAACTGGAACGAAAATGAGCTAACAAACGACTAAACTGAATCTTTCCGACACAGAAAAGTTTATGCAAACGAATTCATTAACATTTTACAATGATTTGGTTATTAATGTACATTAAGTTTTACCAGGTGGATATGATCAAATGCAATGCACAATGGCTCCTTACAGCTTTCATTCAGCCCCAGATCCCCCCTTCCTTTTTTTCAATCATTCATGTGTCTAATGCGTCGACTCGCTGAAATGCTAGGTCAATTGTGATTTAAACTCGTTATTATTAAAAAGGTCCGAGGTTCTTGCTTGTAACTGTTCAGCCAGTCGTTCACTATCAACCATAAACAATGTGATGAAACCCGCTTCTTCGATTCTTTTCATATCATGGTGATCTGGCTTTTCATCTAATCGATAGAACCGCAGATAGTGACGGTCGCTGCCACACCCACTGGGAGATCAAAATCACACCACACTTGTTATTGTCCTCCAACAGCCCTTCGATTGTGGCCTCCATCGTGAAACTATTTTTCGCTCTTCAATTAACTAAATAAACGATTATGATTTTGTTTTAGTGGGCCTTTAGTTTGAGTTAGCTTTTTATTTGAATTAGAGTAAAAATCGGAAGCCTCGTGAGACTTAAACGAGAGCAAGGACACTGATCACAATCCGGGTCTTCGCGTTGTCCGTCAGGCAAAATAACTGAAACATTTGCCCCAAACTGAGAGTTCATTTGGTTGATCCGGAAGAAAACGTCCCTGGACCGAGCTAACACGCTCATAGTGGGATTTCCTGTATCTCGTACCTTAGATGGGTGATCGATCTATGAAGAGATTCGTGCTGTCGGTGTGGCCTCGTAGCTCAACTGGTAGTGTTCGGTGTAAAAGGGTTAACCAGTATCCATTTTCGGGCTACTGATCTTTTCACAATCCAAACTTTTGATTTTTACGTTATCATCTACCAAACAACGTCATTTATCCTAATCAACCGTTCAGCAATCTCCTACCCTGCGGAATTTTTGAACTGGTTGTTGCTTTTTTCTTTGCTTTCATACATGTTCAAACTGTATATATTTGAGCATGGCTGAAGTTGCCTGACTGATTGTGAGCTCATTGAGTCGAATGTTTTTCTTCAGGTTGCCGAATTGGATCGTCGACTGCAACGTCTTGAGGCCCTAATTGGGCAACCGGATCCAACCAAATTGTCTGCATTGACTGCAGATACAGCACAACACAGTCTGCTCGAGGCGGCTTCCAAATTGTCCGCACGTTCTGCTCTACTCCAACCGAGCTATTTAGATATGATTGAAACGCGTCTTTCCAGTTTGCAAACAAAGTTGCAGTCGATCACAGAGAAGCGTGAAACTATAGCCGATGCGGATACACAAAACAAAGTAATTTTCATTTCTTGTATGAGAATTATGGAGGATTTGATTTGCATGATGAATTCGTCGTGGTAATTAGGGTAGTATGCTTGCGTTCTATCTCTGAGGTCCCGGGTTCGATCCTCAGTTGGGTCGATGGATTCGCATTGCTGATGAGAGGCAATCAGGTCGAAATAGCTGTCCTGTGCTTCCCAGCTTGTCAGCTCACGCCTCATTTACACAACGAATTCATCATATAAATTTTCATTTCTCTTGTTCTAAAAATGCGTTACGAAGCTGGAATACGAACTATGTTTCCGTCATGCTTCACTCCATGTTTGTTACTCTCCTCTCTCTATCCACACCTTTCCGCTCACTCCTGACTCAAGGGACAATTGTTGTAATTATGATTGATGTAATGGAATCTAGTTACACAATGGGAAAACTCGAACAATTGTGTCGTCCGCCTACGCCTCTTCATGTTTAAAGTAATATTGTTGTAGAACATTTATTTCTTCAGTTGCATACGTATTGATCACCGACCCCATGATAAAATTGATTTAAGATTCTTGAAACTTATCGATTGGGTCAAGCTTTAGATCTATTGAAAAACGAGTCCAGCACACAACCAACATAAGATTGGACTTACAGGTTAATGCCTGCTTGTTAGTGCATGTGTGCACAAAATGTCTTGCTCGTGTTTACGTGAGACCTTTATGCACAATGTTCTTAGTTGAAATCTCTCTCACTCAACATGTTTCATGTGATTTCAAATTAATTTTGCACTTCTACTACTTAATTAATTCAAGTAACATACTCAACTAATCGGTTCTCTCTTGTCTGTTCGGTCATATTCAGAAGCTCTTTTAAGTGGTGCATTGAAAATTCGATGACTATAGTGAAACAGACAAAGGCAGTGTAATAAGTCAGGCCGGACAACCTGCTGAAAATTCATCCTATTGGGTGCATAAAGCTTTCTTTGACTTGCAGTTAACGTTTGCCTCGCTCCATCCTTTTTCGAAATGAGTAACAATATAACATAGCGGCTGCATAGAATTTTGTTAGGACATTTGAGACACTCTGACCGTACTTACCAAATGATTTTCTCAATCCCGAAAAGTATGGGCTGATTACAGTGAACAAGTGACAATCACTTTTCAGTTCTCATACAATTTACCTATTCTTGTTTTTCCTTAAACATTCAGGTTGCCGAATTGTACGAGTTAGTTAAAAAATGGAACGACGTTGCCGATAGTCTGCCCATGATTGTGGAACGACTAACCGACTTGAAAGATCTGCATGAAGAAGGTTAGTGAGTTTTCTCCGATCCGCTGATTCCCTTTTCATTGTTTCATTCACCCCTAGATGAACCTCGTATCTGGTTAAGGTCCTTTATGGTTTCATTTTATAGTCAACCCTCACTGGTTTGCCTCACTCACATAAATCCTTCAAGCCAAAGTGTATAGTTGAGCACCCGTAAAATAGCTCGAAAGTAATCGATCCATCCTTTGCACAGCATGAACTGGAGTAGAGAACACAGCAGCACAGAGGAAATTCACCCCAGCTCACGTAAATATTTCTTCCGAAGTATGATGAAAAATAATCATTTATAGTTACCGTTGGTGAAATGTTGACGTTACAATTTCTATCAAGCCAGAACAAATGTTATATACACTTCCTGCCAGCTCAATTCACTTTTCCATCGGTTGGTAGTAGCAGTCTTTGCGAACTGGAGTAACCGAGAATTTCAAGTGAAGTAAGCACTTTTGAACGTTGTGGTCACGATTAAGTTCCAGTTTATGCAACCGTTAACCATGCATTTTCGTGCTGTCTGTTGGCTGCCCTTTTGGATAAATCAGTAAAAGACAGAAAAGTGCGAAGTACAATCGAAGAAAAAATGAAATATTTCAGTAGGTCAAGGGTTCAAAAAAGGGGAGGCACGAGCACCACTGTTTACGACACAGCAGTGTTAGTCTGTCTCTGCCCCTCGGTTCCACTGATCCCGAGGTCATTTATTATCAGACCAGAATGATTAAAACGGTCTGTATGCAGAGTTCGATTGTGTACTCCGTGTCTTGACCATCGAGGCTCACCTCCCTCCCCCTCCCTCAAAATAGGTCCAATACCTATCCACCTTAAATATTACCATTAACCTTGTATGCATTTTTTAATTTTTTTTTTTATTACGCACCTACGTGTGATGAACAGCAGACGGGGCGAACCCCATAGCCATGAGGACTTGCTGTTCAGTGATGGAAAGCGGCAATCTAAGCCCCGGGACTTGGAGTGGCGAACCACGTTAGGCCCCGATAGGTTAGGCGTGATATTGTACCGGACGATAGTTTGACAGCAATCAGTTAAGTTCGTCTTTTGCTATTTCATTGTACGACGACGATGATGATGAGGAAACCTAACGGAAACTGCGTGACCCAGTCTCTTGGTTAGGGTTTAATGCCCTTGTGCCAGGTCTTGTTTTGACCGCTCTTGACTTTTTCCATCCACTACCTGCCTCGGCAAACATCGATCCCCGTGGCAACCTACTTGGTGATATGCGTAACACATGTCTCAATCTATGGATTTCGACCGCTTGCCCCAGTGGGCTATCGCGGTTATCTAAAACCCTGCGCCTAACCTCAGCATTGCTTGTCCGGTTGCCCCAGAAGATTGTGCAGTGCTGCGTAGACGGTGGTGTTCAAACACCGACAGTCTATCTTTGCCCTGTTTTCATAATGACCAAGTTTCTGCGCTGCACAGCAGAATTGTCGCAGCATACACTGAACTGCTGAAAAAGTATTGAAAATCGGTTCTCGTAGCTCAAGTGAACAATTTCATTTCGCCTGTTCGCCGAGCTTGGAAATTTGTTAGCAAACGTTTCATCACCAGTCGAGGTGACATCAGTGCTTGTGAAGTGGCAGTGTTGTGCTTGTATCCGTTCGTTTATATATGTGGCCTTCTCCACCGACTGTTTTTATCCTCTGTTTTCACTGTGTTCGACTCGGTTCGCCGTTGAACTGGTTTTCCTTCACGAATACCTACGGCGCAGTTTACTTCCACGGAGTGTATATCATGGTCCACCGATCAATCATACGAAGACCTAAGGGATTTCACTACAATTCGGAAGACGCATGGTGCGCATGATAATCTCAGACACTCACAAGAACAAGGGGGTTATACAAGAACAGGAGAACTGACGAACTGTATTGAGCGAGTGACAGATGGAACAGCTGGAAGATGCAATTTGAACAATAAATCGACGTGTCGAAAATGTCAAAAGAAAAAGAAAACTAGTACTCTCAAGAAAGCTCCTTAAGTTGAGTGATCTTATGCTAACTGATGAAAATGAAAACTGGGCTCACAATCTCTCCAATCGCATAATCACACAGGATGAAAAACGAATCCTCAATAAAGGACTCAATTTCAACTTCGGAAATGCCACAAACAAGGAATATTTGGTGGAACTGGAACAAACTCTCAAATCGTCCACGATACCTGAGGATGCGAAACAATCGTCCCAGCTGTGATGCGAAAAGGCAAGCCTAACGTGCTATCAAACCGCGAGGGCAAAGCACTCAAAACACACAGAAGATGGACAAAAATATTGTCATCCTCCCAGCGAATAAAGGAAGAATCACTGTAGTTATGGACAAAATTGACTACATTCAAAAGGCTAAGGAACTGCTCCAAGACAAACACCTACCACAGAATCGACACGGACCCCACCGCAAAACTGGAAAACAAAATCAACACCACATTGAAACGATTGGAGGAACTGCATCAAATAACCAAAGCGGAGCACTGGAGAATGAGAGCCAAAAGCTCCGTCATCCCACAATTCTATGGAGTACCGAAGGTACACAAGGAAGGAATTCCCCTGAGGCCGATCGTCTCCCTTCCAGGAACAGCCACATACAATTTAGCAAAGGGGTTATGGAACCGACTGAAGCCGCTCATTGCTGGACACAAGTACAGCGTCGTGAACTCAAGACGGTTCCTGGATAAGCTCAAAACTGTCAATATCGAAGAAGACGAAATAATGGTGTCGTTCGGCGTCACCGCTCTGTTCACTTCGATCGACTTGGACTTGGCAAGGTCCACGTTACGGGAGTGGATAACCGAGCACCCACCAAACCAACCAATGGAACCAGCTGCAATTTGCGAGCTCATGGACCTGTGCATGCAGACGTACTTCAAATTCGAGGGTGAAATCTACGAACAGCTGAAAGGAACGCCAATGGGATCACCAATTTCTGGATTCATAACCGAAGCCGTAATGCAGAAGCTGGAGAAGAAAGTACTGCCAACCATCATGCCACAACGTTGGCTTCTATGCGCTGGTGACACATTCGTCATTTTGAAAAAGTCGGAACTAGAATGAACATTCAACATTATCTCATTCAATGACATTAAGTTCACAACGGAAACAGAGAAGAATAAACGACTGGCACTTTTGGACATCTTGATCATCAGAACGCCATCAGAAAAACTGGAGACAACGGTCTGCCGCAAGACAACACATGCGGATGAAATCCTAAACTGTAAAAGTAATCATCCACGCAGTCACAAAAGAGGCTGTGTTAGAACCTTGTTCGAAAGAATCCAAACGCACTGCAGCACCGACATACTCAGGAAGAAACATACATCCTCAGAGTATTTGCTCGCAATAGCTACCCCCGCAGCTTCATCAGAAGAACTCTGACTCAAAGAGAAAAGGAACCAACAGACAGAGAATCTGGAACAAGAACGACTCTGCAATACATCAAGGACGTTTCGAAAATGACAGCAAGATTGCTGAGATCATATGGAATTCAAGTCGCCCAAAAATCAATCCCTGTCAAAGGAAACTTCTGTCAAAATCCAAGGAGAGAACAATGAAGAAGGACAAGAGCAGTGTTATCTACAAAATAAACTGCAAGAACTGTCCAAAACCATATCAGACAAACTGGATGAAAACTATCAATAAGGATCTGTAAACACCAATCGGGAGTCAGAAGAAATGACCCACTATCGTTGATTTTCCTGTACGAAGATCAAGAAGGACATCAGTTTGACTTTGAATGAGTGAAAATTATCGACCAAGCCCGGTCAAAGCACGCCAGCGAATTTCTCGAGGCATGGCAACCTTTCATACAACCCAACAAACAGGCACATCGAACTGGATCATGTGTACACGTCAATGTAACTCAAGAATCAAATAACGCAACAAAAATGGTCACACTGGGACCTGAGCACGGACCGAAACCGTAATCAGGACGGAACGACAACCCTTACCCTCCCACTCTGACACCCTCGCAGCAGTTTAACGGCGAATCGAGTCGAACACAG